TGGCATAGGATTTGCCGCATCGGCGCCTCCTTAATGGTTGAAAGCTATATATGTGTTGAGTATAGCGTTATTCGATACCTCCGAGCGCTCCCACTAATCATGTGCTCAACTTATTTGTGACAAAATTATGTCCAGTTATTAATTTGATGAGTCCAGTGATAGACACACAGCACAGTCATATCAGTTGCGAAGGGGGTCACGAAGGGGTCAATTGTCTGTTGATTTAAAATACAACCAAATTTGTGCACAAACTCTACACTCAATTATTTCTAATTTTTTAGACATTTTTTTCTAAATTAAATTCACTTTTACAAACTTTTTTGTTTTAAACATGTGTTTATAACACTAAACCAAAATAAATGATAAATTTTAAAAATATAATTTAAATATAATTTATTTAATAATAATTGATTTGAGCAAAATGATTAATGTTTTGAATCTATTTCTAAAATTTAAAAATAATAATTTAGAAATATACATTAAATTTTATGTATATTTTTAGTATAATTTAAATATTTATATTTTTGATATTATGGTATAATAAAAAATTAAATTAAAGTATTATCAATATTAAGGTAATCAGTGAATATAAATTTAGAAATATACATTAAATTTTATGTATATTTTTAGTATAATTTAAATATTTATATTTTTGATATTATGGTATAATAAAAAATTAAATTAAAGTATTATCAATATTAAGGTAATCAGTGAATATAAATATATAAATTTAGAACAGTTTTAGTTATTAATAATATTTAAATTAAAATTCTAATTAAAATAAAAGCTTAATTTTAATATGAAAATCTTAAATTGTAAACTAGTTTATAATTGTTACAAATAACTAAGCATTTATAAATTTCTCAGAAATTGAATATGATTTTTAAATATTTTATAAAATAAAATGCTTAATTATTATAAAATTATATTCTTTGTTTAAAATTGATTTAACTAGGTAAAATTATTTGTACATTTTAAAATATTATTCTCAATAGTATAATAATATGAGAAAAATTGTGAGTTTTTCTAGATTTTTGATTAATTAATATTTAAAAGCAATTTGTTATTATTTTTATCTTTTAACTGAAATATATCTTTATACGAATAAAATTATTTGGCAATTTGAGCACCAAAATCAATATATGCAACAGTTATGCAATATTAGCTTATAAAATATACACACAAAATTGATGAAATAGTTTATATCTATGATATGCCAAAAGAAAGCAATTGAAAGCATTGGGTTTATAATAATAATAATAATCAAAACTTTATTTTGAGATGTGGACACAAATCATATAGTTATTGACTTAGAAAAAAGAGTTGCAAATTTGAGTCTACAATGAATGCAATAATACTATAATCAGAATAAATTCAAATTTACATTTTCCTAGTTATGCTTCCATACAATAAAACTAAATATTGATTGTGGTGTTTGTGAATATAAGATCTGTCAATATATTATAATCTTGCCAAGTTAGACATGTAATAAAAATGCATTTATTTTAGTTGACATTTAAATTTTAAAATTTTTCCAAACCATTGTAATTTTCAAACAGGAGTCTAAAGAAGTAAAACTACTATAATAGTAATGATTGTGGAAAAAAGTTTCAACATTTAGGCTAACATTAAATTATTGTTTGATAGCATAATAATGTGTTTAATTCATAGCATATCATTGTGTGGGAGTTTTAGTCCATTTGATAGCCTATTCTCAATGTGAACCAAATAGCTTTCATCAAAAGTTACTGTAAACTCAAGATAAACGCCCTGTCCTTCCAAACTGAATAACTCTATTTAATATAAATACTGTTATTTAATTGATATATTATACTACTGTTGAGTAACTTTAATGATATATTATGTGCTACACTATATACTAGATATGCCAGAAAATTGTGCGTTTATAAGTATTGTTAAAATATTTTGAATGTAACCCTCAATACATATGGGCTCTGACCCAGCAGTTGGAAACCCCGCACAGATATCACTGAAGCCACTGCTTAGCTCTCACTGTCAGGAAAGGGATTTGAATGTGTATTACAAGTATTTGTTTAGCAGTTTTCCTACTCTTCAAACACACATTTCAATAAACAGTCAAATATTCCCCATTGCTCTCCAATAAAATACACTAAAATTAGCCTATTTTATGTCTAAATATTCATTTGTTTTTATTTAAATCAAACTAGATCAGTTATATTTAATTAAATATATTGTATAGAATAATAATTTGCTAGAGTGCACAATTATGATGCAAAACACTGCAAATGTTATCTGGTATAACAAATGTAGTACATCAAGTACAATTTAAAACATTTTGTAGTACATATTATTTTTGATTGCTCTAATATAAACTAAACATTCAATTGTCAAAGATTAAAAATTATTAATCAATAATTATTTGTTTATATTATAATTTATAGTTTCTAATGATTAGCAATAATTTAATGAAAGAAATCTTTATAAGAGTTTCATAAAGACCTTAACAAATATCTCTTTATTCTGATAAATCTTTTTATTGATTTTTAAATTTTAGTCAAAACTTAAATGATAAAAATTTTTAATGAATCACAAATACAATTTAATTTAGAAAATATTTCTCGGAATAAGTGTTTGCAAAATGAGACAAAACACTAACTCGTATGAGAAATATTAAATAATTAGATAAGTAACAAATATTTAGTTACAAATTGTTTTTGAGGCAAACGATAGCATTATTTAATTCATAAATATTTGTTTGAGTGCAATAATGGATAAATTTATTATTTGATTATATGTAATATAAGAATCATATTATTGGGCACATGTTATGCTAATATTGGTATCATTTGTATCACTGGCATGCCTAACCATTTAATGCATTATTTAATTATACAAATAATCTCATATTTGCTCACATATGGCGGTCTTTACTATAATAATAATAATATAAGTTGTGATGTAATTGTATTATACAGTATATTCTCATTATTCACTCTAATCCTAATCAATCATTATTATAAGCCCTGACTTCTCTCCACGAATGCCTTATTTATACGAGAAATGATGTTTCACTCCAAGGAGGAGACCTCCCCTCCCATTCACTATGTCTGCACCAATTGACAACCACTGCCTTTCCATTACAGGCCTTTCCATGCACTATAGACGCCTTTCCATTTGCTCCCAACACTAGTAGATAATCACTGACTGATAAGTTTAGCTACACTTAAGTACAGTGGATATGTTTCACTTGATTTTGATCCCGTGATGTGACAACTCTTAATCCATATTTGTTTGAATACTTACAACAACTTAAGAATGGATTTAAGTTTTGCCTCTTCTTCAGCACCATTTCCTCATTACGATCAGCCCAACCATCGCTTTCATCCCTATCGCGCCAGATATGACACCTCATCATCGGTGCCAATGTATGGTCAGCCGGCCTTTTATCCCAAACAGAACCACTGGATCAACGACTACTCCTCTCCTCCCATAAGTCCTATCAAACATTACAGCGCTTATGGATCTGAAGTGGATTGCGATAATCATTTCTTCGCAACCGATGAACCAAAACTTGAAGCACCGACTGATCCCAACAACAACTTGCCGGCCAATGACGGCACCGAAACGATCACCAAATATATAACAAATCGGACGACAGGAGTGGTGAGAGTTGTCAAGAGAAGAGTGACCGCAAACAAGAAGGAAAGGCGAAGAACTCAGTCTATAAACAGTGCGTTCGCTAACCTCCGCGACTGCATTCCCAACGTTCCCGCGGACACTAAACTCTCCAAGATTAAGACTTTGAGATTAGCCACCAGTTATATCACCTATTTAACTGCACTTCTTGACGGACCAAATGACACCCGACTCAAGCTTATGAAAGAGGGCTTTCGTGCAGACCTTCCCACCTCTCATAAGAGGAACAGTAGGGATAACTTTAAGGTATTCATTCATTTTCTAAGCATTTTATATTAATTGTCTTGCTCATATCTATTATTAAAGAGCATTTTGAGACTCGGAGAAAGTCTAATATTAAATAAGATGTCAGATACTGTACTGTATATTATAAATATAGGTTCAAAATAGTTTTGTATTTTAAGATCGATTTTCTCAATCAATATTTTATAAACATTTAGAGTTTGATTATTAGTAACTATACATTAAATGATATGATTTGTTGAAATGCGATAAAGAATTGAAATATGAATAAGTTTTGAGTACAAAGTAGAGATCTCAAAATTGTCTCTTATATAGAAATAGTGGAAAGTAGTCCCAAAAAGGGTCTTCACTAATATGTTTGTGTTCATTGAACTGTTTTATTGCCCGTAAAATGAGTGTAATTGGAGACCGACTCAAACCAATAGTTAAGATATTTGTGTTTCAATACTTGTGTCCCAAAAGATGCATTTTAAGATAACTTATATTGCAATATCTATATGACATATAGTATATGTATATTACGTTTATGTACTTGTGATGATTTTTAGACCTGAATTCAAAGTTTCGTTAAGAAGTTACGTGAATTTTATGTGTATTTATTTAAAAATATAAAATTTCTCAAAAACCACCGAATAATCAAAAACTGAATCTTAAAAGTATTTTCTCGTCATTTATACTTTTCATAAATGTCTGCATTTTAAATGCTTTTAAACATATACATAACAAACAAATTAGCTTTATTTTAAATGCATTCGGGTATGTTTACTTCCTATGAAATTAGCTTGATTCTGTTTATTTTATGAAATATTTTATGAAAATTTATGTTAACAAATTGCAATGACAATAAAGTTCATTATGTAAAATCATAGGATAAAACTATAACTTATTATTCATAATTTTAGATAATCTATCATTGATTATTTGTTATCACGGTGAAATACTTATTGCATGACTTGAGTATTGTAAAAATGTCCAAGAGCAATGGTGAGCAGTGAATGAGTGATTGAGATATAAATACTATAAAATCCATTTGACGAGTGAGTGATCATCTCTAGCATAAAATGAATGAAAGATGGATTAGAGTCAGCATTGATGTGACAATAAGTGACTTATATTTGATTAAATAGTGAAATAAATGGCTTAAAGATATTAAATGATGAATTGTTGTGATTTTGATAGGAAATGGTCAAAATAGGGACTTCAATGCAATGCAATTCACCCAATAGTATACAATACAAGTCCAATGGAAAGACCAAATGCAAAGTAAGGACGGGATGGCCTCAAGCCGTATGGGTTGAACAGCTTGAGCTAAAGCAACACGACAACCAATAATTGATTTATTTTTACCACCAAATCGTATTACCCGTAAACAGTTATTATATTACATTAAATCCAATGTTTAGCTATAAATATAATTTCTCTCGAATAAAACATTTTAATTCATAATTAATTGGTATAATCATTATTATAACTCATACTTATAAATAGTGAGTATTATATTATACAATATATACTGTTAAAACAGTGCAATATAAATATAATATAGTTAGATATACATCAAATATTTTAAACAATTAATTATGTAAAAAAGTTTTAAATTTTATGTAATTAACAATAAATTTATTTAATAAATATTCCTAAATTTTGAAAACGATTAAAGTTAATATTAAAATTTATTAAATTATTTTATTTACTACATGAGAGTGAGAGAGAGAGAGAGAGAGAGAGAGAGAGAGAGAGAGCTTTAGGAACTTTTAAAAATTCGTTTACATTCATAATATTAAAATAAATAACAAATAGTGCATTATTAATATTGGTTAAATTCTAATATAAATGTCTATGTCATAGACTCTATTAGCTTTATCAAGTTATCAAGTTATGAGAAAGTTATCAAGTTTAATATAAGTGACATATACTGTACTAAACATTATACATGAATATTTACTTGTATAATGTTTAGTACAGTATATGTCACTTATAATTTGAAAGTTTGAAAGTTTGAAATGTCTTTTCGTTATAACTTTCGAATACTAATTTCATAATAAAGACTATGTAATAACCCTTATAGACGAGTCTATATTTCTCGTGTCATTGTTTTTTATGTTTATATTTATACTGAATAAACTAAAAAATTAAATAAGTTAAAGTTAAGAACTTTTATAAAAGAGTTTGCTTAAGAATACATTTATACAACAATATTATTAATAAATATGCTATAGATTAAAAGTTATAAGTGTTTCATTTCCAATTAGTAAAATAATGNTTATTAATAAATATGCTATAGATTAAAAGTTATAAGTGTTTCATTTGCAATTAGTAAAATAATGAATAAACCAATAAAAATCATTAATTTCAATGGAAAAGTTATACAAATTGTGTTATATGTCAATAATTTGGACGCATTACTGGATTCACTCATTTGGAAACATAACGAATAAAGTTAGCAACTGTTTGTCGAATCACACGAAACAAAACAAATAATCAAAAGTATGTATCTCTTGAATGTCATAATAATAAGAAGAG